ACGACTTTCAAATAGTTTCATTATCCAAATAAGATAAAACAAGCACGTGTGGGTGTTACATTATAAAGGCAGAATAATCGCCTTTGTTGTAATTTCCCTCAGGAGCAAGACCTAATTACGCTACGGATTTAATTGGACTTTTATAAGATATTTTTGTACTATTTCAGTGTAATTAAAATTAATCTTTTTATTAATTAGAACAATTCTTAGCTGGACAACTTTATAATTTTTAAACTGTTTTTTGTTTTTCAATTACGAGTAATGTTTTTGAATTTTGATTTAGTATTATTTTGACCGACTTTCCAAAAGAAGGAGGTAGTTACTCAATTCGTCTGTATGTTTTTTTTATACCACAATTTGGGAGAAGGGGTCACCTGGTTTCGACGAAATCGTAAAACCACCGCTGTAGATGCGTTGCCTATCAACGAATTAGGGGACGAACTGAATGGGAAACTTACCCCTTTCTATGTGTCGTCTTACTCTACCAATCATTTCCTCAAACTAAATTTGTAGTAAGGGAAAGTGTAAATTATGTGCATGTTTAAATTAGAAGTTAAGTATAGACTAGTTGTCCGCGACTTTGTCCACGCAATATTTAGATAAGAGAGTAGCCTATAATATGCTTATCTATGTCAGGTATACTTAAGTGAAAGTCGAAATCGGCCAGTCGTTTCGAAGATTAGCCGAGAGACAGACAGATAGATTAAATGCTTTTTTCGTTATGAGTATAAATACATCATCTTCTCGAAATCTGGAAATCTTTTTTTGATGTTACTAATAGACACTCCAATTTTGTTATATGTGTAATTTTTTTTTATTTTAATGCAAATTTTATTATTTTAGTCATGTTTGCCATACTTTGAATTTCAAAATTTTTAATTACAAAGTTATTAACGGCAAGGCAACAAAGTGAGGTATTAAAATTCCGGTTTTAGAAAATAATGTTATATTACGAATAAAGTATGGAGCTTAAGCCTTTAAGTAATAACGGATAGTACGGCTTTTACGTGTTTAGGCAGTTTAGGTTTAACATTATGTTAAATTTAACTTACCTAAGTTTTATTTATTTTAAACTTATTTAACATATTCTTTAGGTCTAATATTCAAATAGTTATTGCATAAATTAGATATTTGTTTTTTTAATTATTATTGAATAAAGTTTAGAGGTTTTACTGTGGTACTCAGAATATTTAACTTTTCACTAAGGAGAATAAGACTAAAGAGGAGAGGAGGAGGAGGAGACTAAGGGATGAATGAGAATAATGACATAGTGTAACAAGAATGTATTAAGTTTAGAATGTGTATATTAGAGGAAGTTTGAAAGTAGCGCCAGTGGTAGAGAAATTGAGAAGCAAAAGGTTAGCGTGGTATGGACATGTTATGCGACGAGATGATGGAGACAGAAAGTGTTAAGAATGAATGTGGTTGGCTACAAAGGAAGAGGAAGATCAAAGTAAGTATAGATGGATTGTGTGAGGATATGCTTAAGAAAGGAGTGGATTCAGATATAACGGCTGATAGAGATGTATGGAAGAGCAGCACATACTGTGCCGACCAAGTTGATGAAGATGATGACTGAGGCGATGAATATTTTTAAATTCACAAAGTTCAAATTAAATTCAATTTTAGAAATCTTCTTTTTACATTTGACATTTTTGACAGTACAGAATAAAATGTATTCCGTGTGAAGGCACTATAAAGTTTCAATTATTTTTAACAAGTAAATTAGCTACGTCTAAGCCCTAAGCTAACAAAGGTCTAAGCATGCCGTGAAGCCTTGCTGCCACTAAGGTTCGTTTAGATGCAAATTGACCGAGTAAACTTTGCACTTAAAGCCAACGGAGCAAAGACAAGCCTCCAATCGTATTAGACCACTAAGCAAATTTATACAGCCTTATACAACATTGCAGCTTAAGCAACTACATTGGGAGATTGTAAATTGATCATTTTGTTTTTTTTTAATAGAAATCTCTAACGCTTTTACAATACGCGAACGCTCTCGTGAACGTATAGTGTTCTTTTTAAGTCACTACGTCATTAAAATTTTCCACATTTTGACTTTTTTAATTGACATAAAAGAAAATAATTGACTTCTCTAATTTGATTATCTTTGCTTTAAAGGTAAATTCAATGTTATTTTTCTATTATCTTTTATTTTTCTTGGAATATCTGTGCAAAAATAATTTATTAAAATTTAACGTAAATCGAATTGTTGGCCATATCATGTCTCGAAACAAAGAAATTTATTTTTAAATCATGACTATTGCTTAGTTTCTTTATATAAGGTATGTTCAACAAACCAAATATCCGTATGTACAGGTATTTGTTATTTCATTTTGTACACAGAGAATATTGCCCCAAGCTTTACTTTACGATCCTGGAAACCATTTTCCTTGTAAGCAAACTTGTGACTTAATTACTTTCTTTATTTTTACTATTGTTATATAGCTTGTATGTTTTCGAATATACATATAAAAATTATTAAAAACAAAATCGCTTCTCGTTGTCTGTTCCATTCTGATAATTTTGTTTAACAGATAGAGTCATTCAAATTATATGTATACTTGTATATTATAGTAGACAAATTGTGATTTTAAGATTCTTAGAAAAGTATTAGGCAATATTAACACTTAATTTTATCTAGAATAAATAGATTCAAAACATTTTACAGTGGTAGTGCCCACTTTAACATCTTAGCACGAATAGGCCGGCACGCCCGGTGGAATACCACGACCACACAGAAAACAGTCGTGAAATGGAAGCAATATTTCGTCTGATGAGTGTGGTGCCGGAGGCCTAATTTTAGCCCCTTTCTCTTTACCACCCTTTTCTTATAAGAACAGGATGGGAAGAGGAAGTGGATGTGACGGTGGAGTAGATGCATAGGAAGGGGACATATTCTCTTTATGTGTGTCTCGTCCTCCGTCGGATAAGGGTAGGCAACGCATCTGCAATTGCGGATGTCTATGGGCAGCGGTTGCTTTGCCATTTTGGCGGATTCAGGTGGCCGCTTGCTCGTTTGCCACCTTATGGTATAAAAAAAAGCTAATTCTAGACTAAATATATACCTAATTAAACAATTAGTTTTTATTGTAATTGCTTGAATTATTTTGTGATGAATATTCTGTTCTCTTTAACATACTCATTTGTAACTGCATTAAATATTCAAATGTGATTCCGTCGTTGGTCATTCAAAGTAAATAACTAAGTCCATCCCTTCTTACTTATTTGTACGGAGTTTAAATACGCTGATTAGAGACTTGAGTACTTATCTAAGACTTACGTATAATATTTATTTCTTCTACTAGCTGTTCCCATGCGACTTCATCCACATAAAATTATAAAAAAATCATTTTATTGTTCATATTTGTCAAATTATCAATAGCAAATGTCAAAATGACATGACATGTCAAATCATGGCGACCTTGCTTCCTTGATGTTGGCTACAACTTATGGTCTCTTTCCCACATTAGGGTTTTTATCCAAAATATTTACCCCTAAGTTTAACGGCGT